AACATTTTCGCTAGTCAACGTAAGTTAAAGGTGAGAGAATTGCTGCTGCAGCTAAAAAAAAAGATAAGGGGAACAGTAGTCTGCCGCTTCTATTTTGAGAGTACATCGGTCTTCCCCAGTGTTCGAGCTGTCTAACAAACAACCTAACTGCCAAGTCGTTTCTGTGTCTCTAATCGGCAAAGTTCGTCGCCCACTCCTCTTCGTTGTGCTGCGACGCTGCGCCACGTGGGCGCGCCATGTGTCTGGCGACGATATGAGACGAGCGGGTCCTTACCTTGTCAATTGAAAGTTTTTGTCCAAGGGACCGCTGGGTTGATGTTAGGAAGGTGGGTTTTTCTGCACGGAGAAAAATGACTTCGTTGTGAAGATCAGTTATGTTTGGTAGGCATAATTCGGTAGCTGGAATCGAGAATCCGATACCCACAACCAAGGGTTGGCCGCCACGACCGGACACTTGTACGAAGAGAACAAACTTCAGCTTGGTTCTCTTCGTACAAGTGTCCGGTCGTGGCGACCATTCCTTGGTTGTGGGTATCGGATTCTCGATTCCAGCTATCGAATTAAGCTTACCAAACATACCTGATCCTCACAACAAAGTCTTTTTTCCATGTGGCCTTTGCCGATTTTCTGGGATATCGATTGATACCATTATCCCATTTTTAAAATTTTAGTATTCTAAAAGCATGTCGTGTTTGATTGGGTCGAACTGTGTGACGTGCGAATTTTAAATGTTTCGTAGACCTCTAAAATTTGCGCACTTGGACCTATACGACCGTCGAGCGTATGATATAAGCAGGCAACAAATAGAATGCATCTGCCATGCGTTTTGTAATATTTCGAGTTTGCTCACCCATCTGACAAGTAAGACAACACTAAGTGTCCAAACTTTGAACACTTGAACTATGCGTGTCAATTGGCGCGCAAGATTACAGAAGGTTACACACCTTTTTGTGCACTGTAGTACTGTAGTTTTTGGATGACGAAGAACTTTAACGTTATAACTGACAAATTAGTACAGGTCTGTGGGAGAGTGCATCCTTCTTCGCAACGTAGACTCTTACTGCCGTTTTATACTGCCTTCTCCCACCCCCTACCCCAGTCCTCTATCAGCCCCCTTTCCTTCGACATTCTTGATGATTGGTATTTTCTCTCTCAGACTGTTATGATAAACTTGAGGCCAACGCCTTTCCCCAGGCAGATTGCAGTGGAATGACAACACATAGGACAAAAGGCAGCTTGGCTTATAAATGATCGATTCTATCAGAAGAGAAACATTACTTAGGAAATATGCTGAGAAGAATGTAAATATTTAAGTTTTAGTTGCAAGCCGTGCTATGTTCATTCACTAAAGTAGGGTTTTATGGATTTAAAAAAACGTTACCACTTCGTTTTTACTGCAAAACGAACGCCTGATTAAGAAATGTAAATTACACATCCTAATGTTGTTTGTTGTTGGCTGTACTGAGTTAATGTGGAATTGGACTCCAACAGGTGGTCGCAGCGATATCACGCTCTGTCCCTCGCGCGCGTCCCGTGTGGTAGAAACGGGTTTGTTTAAAAACAATCTTGAAAGAGCTTCTCTGAAAGAATAGATAAAGACAGCAGCGGGACGGACAGAGGAACAAAGATCGTTAAAGAAAAGTGGAAGGGAGATAAATGGTGTGGGCAGACAAGAGGGGGTGGGGAGTAAAAATGCAGAGCAATAGTTTGGACCTTAGCCCCAGAGACATTCGCAGCACCTGCCGTGAGCGCAAAGGTCGCATTTCAAACAGCTCCACGCTGCTGCCGTGGCCGAGGATGGGCGAGAGGCTTAGGTCACCGGGGTGGTGCTTGCCCAGAAGTGGGAAGGCTCGCGTTTTCCTGAATTGATTTCTCATTCTATATATGTGTGTGTGTGTGCTTGCCACGGTGCCCGTCCACTAGCTGGAAAGCAATACCTACCCAGCCGATCGGAAGACCGTCGCTCTGCGTGTTATTTGTGTGTCCTTCGGGTCCATCGTTACCTTCTTATTTGCCCGCAATGTGTGTGCCGTTATTTTTGCAGTCGGGCGCACGTGATACCCCCCCCCCCCCCGCACCTCCCCACTCTGTTCTGTGGACCAAATATTGGTCCATTAGCCTGTCGCTTGTGGAGGAGATGGGGCGGTGGGGCTTGGACCACACACTGCACAATAAACCTTTGCGATTCCTCAAAGATGTACCAGTGAATTAAAATTCAAACAACCTTTTCGGCCTCCGTAGAAGCGTTTGAAAATACACTAAGACAGCGTATTGACAGTAACAATTTTACTGTCTTGTCTAATTTTACTTGCATACAGTGCACACCAAGGGGTCCACCACTCCTAAAAAAAAATCGTACAATGCTTGCAAACTAATTGCAAACAAAACTGATTGCAAATGATGATTGTGATGATTGAAAAATAATTGAAAGATTGCAAAATGATTGGAAGATTGTAAAAAGATTGAAAGATTGTGAAATGATTGAAAGAGATTTAAAATGATTGAAAGAGATTTAAAATGATTGAAAGAGATTTAAAATGATTTGAATTGATTCCAAATGATTTAAATTGATTCAAAATGATTGGAATTGATTTAAAATGATTTAAAACATTTGAGGGCTCAGCCTGCGTAGCGCTTCAGTCTAGCTTTGAATGATTTATGATGGTTAAAAGTGATGATTGAACGTGATCAATAAAACGAATATCACATTTTTAGTTTGATTTCAATAAATTTTAAATGATTTCAAATGATTGGAAATGATTTAAAGTGATTTAAGTTGATTCAAAGTGATTGTAAAATGATTGGAAATGATTGTAAATGATTCAAAATGATTGAAAAGATTTCAAAGATTGTAATGATTGTAAATGATTGTAAATGATTCAAAATGATTGAAATTGTGATTTTTTTGAAAAGTGTACAGTGATTCTTCTAAGTGGTGGACCCCTCGGTGCACACGGTCAGGCCAGGCACTTGGGGTGCACGTGCTGGTCACGGGGCCCAGCCTCAACCAGGCCGTAACACTAATCAGGTCTCGCAGCCAGCTGGCGTGCCGCGCTAACGGTGGCCGGAGCGCCCAGCGAGTCAGGGTGGTCAGGGTTAGACTGTCCCGCCGAACAGCCGCGCACGAGATTGCCTGTCTACCAGGCGCTTTGTGGCGATGTCCGCTTTTCATTTTCATCGCATACTGGGGAAAAGAGAAGTTTGGGCTCGGCGCTGAAAATCTGGAAAGAGCGTTGGCATCACAGGTCCTCACTGTAAAAAGCTTACGAACTAAATGCTTTGCAACGTTACGAGCAATTTTCGTTCTTTGTATTGCAAAGCAATTGTTTGTATTGCAAAGCGATTGTTTGTAAGGCTCGACAGGTTCTTACGAACAATCGGTTTGCAATACGAACAACTAGTTCGTAATGCAACGCTTCAAAATCCTTCGTAAGCTACGAAGGATTTGGTTTGCATTACGAACCTATTGTTCGTAAGCAATTTACAGTGCATATTTCGGTTCCGTCGGCTCGTCAGGCAGTTTCTACGCTCCGCAAAGACTCGGAGAGCGCACAACAACCCGAGCCGAAAGGAAACAGCACAGCTATGTTTGTTACATTTTCTGCATCGCTCAAATGATAGTGAGCAGCTTGAATAATTGTCCGAGGAAAGCGCAATCAGGTGCGTATTCGGTAAAGCAGGCTGCCTACGTGCTCTAGGCAGAGGTGCAGCAGTGCTTCTTCTCTATGAACAGTAAGCGAATGAAGAACGTGGGATTCCTTTTGACGTCATGCCACGCTGCTGCTGAGGTTGCTTCATGCACGCGGTTGGTCCTTTCAAAGTTTCGCTTTCATTCAACAGTCGCCGTGCAGCAGTAGCAGCCGTGGAGTAGATCAAGAGAGGGGGGGGGGGGTGGACACAGCGCCCACTACATGACTGAAATCCCCCCCCCCCCCCCCTCTCTCTCCCTCTCTCTCCCCTTCCTTCCTCCCTCTTGCTGGAACACGCAGACGCTCTCACCCACACACACGCACATGAACACGCTCGCACACTCACACTCACACATTCGCACACACACACACGCACGCACACACACACAAAACCACACGTACTTTCTCACACACTCGTCGTGCCGAGATGCCCCTATGAATAAAACGCAAAGGCTGCCGAGTGGGGAGCAGCGCTTGCCCCTAATTGCCTGCTCTCCGCAGCTTGTTGCCGGCTAACTTGTCCGCGTCACGCCACACCGCCCTCCTTCGCATCCTCCTCCGAAAGCGGCCGCCGCCCGCCGCCCGTGGTGGGCCGTGGTGGCGGCGATGGCGGTTCAAGTTGAAGAGAGTTGAGACGCACAGTGTCCTGCTGTGCCGGGCTCCGCTTGGCTGTCTCTTGCGCCCCGCTTCGCCCCGCTTCGCCCCGCTTCGCCCCGCTACGCCCCGCCACGCCCCGTCGCGCTACGCTTCGGGATGGCTACATCGTTATTGATCCGCTGCTGACACATTACAGACCGCAGCCGCAATTTTCGCCCGGCATTGCCTCAATGATGAGGACCTCCCCTCCTGCCCCCACCCCCACCTCACACACAGATACCTTTCACTCTCTTTTACACCCTTTTGCTAGCGCTCGCAGTTCTTGGAAAGAACGTAATTCATCTGAACCGAATACTCCTGTTAAATACAAGTACAAAATGATGCACTGTGGCCGATTATCATTTAGTTTTAGTATGCATTCACTTTTTTTTGAAATTTCAATATGGAAAAGATTTGGTCTACCAAGAAGATTCTTTCTTGTTGGCGATTCAGTTTTCAATTATCTTTGTTGATCTGTTTGGCCCGCTTTGGCTTCATCTTTTTGACTTTGGTTTGTTTAGCGCAATATCGATCTTATATTTGAATCGATTATTTGATTCCGTCATTCTGTCTATGATATTCTTTGTGATTTCGATCTTATAACGGCTTTGAGATTCTTAGGTTTTTTGTGACTGTATTTTTTAACGGGTCTTTCCGTTCTTTCCTCTGTTTCAGCCATTCTCAACTCGCTGTGCAAAGAGTTCCTCTCTGTCAACGTGTCGGCCATTCTGTACCTGATGAACTACGAGAAGTACGGCCGCTCCACCGCCTCGGCGCAGTACTTCCTGCAGCTGGCCGGCTACCTCGGCATCCCCGTCATCGCGTGGAACGCCGACAACTCGGGCCTGGAGCGGGTAAGTGTGTGCGTGTGTACATGTGTGTGTTTGCACTACTTCAGCGACGGTGACTTTCACCTCCTCCCTTTCCCGGGACGTTGGCGAACAGGCTTCGAGACACTCGTCCATCCTCTCTCTGAACTGTTTACAGCGAACAAATAAACACGTGTGCCGCCCGCAACGAGGAGACGAATACGGCAGAGACGCCGTCGCCTCTAACCCCCGTCTCGCCCCCACCCCCTCCTCTTCTCCAAATCCACTCCCCGCCGCCCGACCGGTTCCACCAATATCCGCACCGCGCCGACCTCGCCCCTTGCCACGCCGCCCACCGCCTCTTTTGTCGTCTGCGTCTCGACATTGTTGGTCTAGACGATGGCATTCGCATCCAAAGTATTTTTCCATACGTGTCGCATGATGCTGGATGCGGTTTGCGCCTCTCGCTCGGATGGAGCAAACAGAAAGTGAGGGGGAGAGGGGGGGGGGGTCAAACTGAGGCAAGCGGGTCCATTCACGGAAAAAAAAAGTTACGTGCTCCAGGCAGCTAACATTTAGACCGCATACCTAATGTTAAGCTGGAGCATCTAACTTTGTAGCAGATGATAAATCAATTAAAAACAAGAAGAAAGAAGGAAACTGAAATAGACTGAAAAGAAACTAATTGGATTGATGTTTTTTCATCAGCTTGTACTCTCGCAATAGAATAGGGGGCCGGGATTCTGGTCGACGCTGCTGTGCGTGTGCACGCCTGAAAACGGGGAAGCCGGTTGGGCCGGGCGAGGGGTCGGAAGGGGGGAGGCGGGGCCGAAGCGCGCTAGGCTCGAAGCGCAGCTCGGAGCTCGGCTTTGAGTATTTAAACTTCGAGTCCTACACCTTAGAGTTTGCACCACAGTATGGAGTTTAACTCTACCACCAGATGCATGTCAGTTGCACACTTTTGTCTTTAGTGTATTTTAGAAATGCTTGCGGAGAAATGTCTACGGTGACCAAATGCCGTCATCGGCAAGCCAAGATTTTACGCCGGCCAAGCAGGCCGGCCCCGGCCCTTGCTGAACGGAGTTGCGGTTGCAGCGAAGTGCCCTCTGCCAGGGATGGCGCTCCAAGTGCTGGCAGGTCAAAGAACGTCCCCTACCATGTCCGTCATCGCTCGCTCCCTCCTTTCTGCACTCATCGGCAGTCGTGCACGTCACGGCCGCGCCAAAGCAGTCGTGGAGGTCAAAATTATTGGCGATAAGAGCCCCGCCTCGCACGCCGCCCGCCCGTGAGGCAGGCAGGTCACAGGTCGCACAGGTGGCCGCGCGCTGCTCTCAGAGCAAACGGAGGAGGAGAGGGTCTCGTCCCGCCTGCATGATAAAGCCAAAGCGGGATCAGGACTCAAGTGCTCTCGAATGCGGGGGAGGGGAGGGGGGGG